GTTGTGACGAATCTTCGACTCCTTGGCTCTGAGTCTGACGACAACAAATATACTCGTCGCGTCTCTAGCGATACTGGATCAATGACACAAGACATTTACAGTGTCAGCATTGACCTCAGCAAAAATGCTTAAAACAGTCTACTCGACTGGGTGTCGGTGAACAGCCGCATGTGCGCGGTTCGATTTCGAACATGTATTGGGGTCAATAAGCACCGTCTGAAGACAAGGTGCATTTTCATCGCCTCAGTTTGTGCATCTACTAGCTGAAGTTCAGAGAATAGCAAAAATGATTTCTACTACCAGCTTTCATCTCTTCTGCGCATGGTGAAGAATACTGACATCGTGATTGTTCCTGGTGACTCGAACACCCAAGTGGATGGTCTTTCAGACTGTGAAAAAACCTGGGAGGGCGATTCGGAGTCAATGCACGCCGAACACACAACGGTGATCGATTCCTGCAAGTGTGTGCTGAGCTCAATATTTCAGCAGCACTGTTTGCCAACACGAACGTTCACATCGCGCCCACCGAATTTCTCTAGGATTTGGACCCAGACTGCCATTGCTATTAACTACAGATGGATCACATCAGACCAAGAATGCCGGTCAATTTGGAGCATTGTCTGGATTCCGACCAGGCTCTAGTGCGCACACGCCTGGCACTCACTCTTCCCTTTCCAAAAAAGTGTCTATCTACTAACCTTAACGGTATCCTAGACGCGCAGTCTGCAAATCAACAATATCATGACGAACTGGCCCACCAGTTATCAGTGGTGAATAAAATTGATGAGCCGAACGCTGACTGGGATCATCTCAAGTGCGCCACCAAGAATGCTTTTGACGCCTGCTGTGCAACCAGCTTAAGACGTCCTAATCGTTAATGATGCATCAAGAAATTTGATAGAAGCGTGTAAACAGAATCCAAATGACATTGAGTTTCAGCGTGTACGTAACTCCCTGTAACGACGTCTGACAAGGAGTCTTCGAATCGAACGGGAACGTGAGATGGAGAAAGACAGTGCTAACGGGAACAGCCGTTATTCAGCTCAGCCGAAACTCGGGTCCGAGAAAGCCATCAGTTAGTGAGACAATAGCTGAGAAAGATGGACAGCTGATCCATTCTCAAACTCGTCGACTAGGCAGTAAGGAGGAAAATTTCAAAGAACAATTCAGCGGACCTGGTGCGACAGTGCCGCTTGCCAAATCACTTGAGCCTACGAAAGAAGTTGATTTTACACCACGCATTTCAGAAGCGATTCGACATGAGCTCGCTGTGTTGAACGAAACAATGCTACTAAACCCGACGACCTTCCTACATCTTTGCTGTAAGGCTGCAGACTGCATCTGCCGCTCTATTCAACATGATTTGGGACAATAAAGAAATGCCGTGACTTTCAAATCATACTCCACTTCAAGTTGGGCTAGCATACTTTGTGAAAAAAGCATGGGGGCAATAGACTTACTTCCATTGCCTCCAAACTTCTCATGAGTATCATTTTTCGATAAGTTATTGATACCCGTGAGAACCGAATCCCTCAAATCTTCCGCCTGGTGGTGGTTGCATCGATCATACATTTACTCTTCGCCAAGTTCTGCAGCACAGACACGCTTACAAGGGACCGACTATGGTGGTTTTCATTTACTTGAAAGTCGCCTTCGACTCTGTTGACCACGCTAGCTTGTGGCACTACCTATCCATGAAAGGAGTGCCAGTTAACCTTCGTTCCATTCCGAAGTCTATCTGCATCATCATCATTATACACGTTAGCTAGAGGTGGAAAAAATCTCAACTACTGTGCCGCAATACATAAAAGAAAAAAAATACGCGCAACAGATGCATGTCAGCTGAGCTACCAGTAACGGATGGGTATCGATCCGGAAAGCTACCAGCCGGCTACTACGCAGGAAAAAATTTATTATGCAAAATGATATCATGCTAAGAAATAATAATAAAAATCACCCTAAGTACATGTTAGCTGAGGGTGAGAAACAACTCAGCTAATGTGACGCAATACAAAAAGAGAAGAGATTAAAAAACTACACAAATTACACTACAGAAAGTATGATGTTAAATATTATATTATGCGTATTGCATGAGATCGGGATTGGAGAAGAGCCTAAAGGGAGGGGAATGGACAAAGGAACTCACACAACAAACGCCACTGGGGCGGGCTCTTCGCCATGTCAGCAAGCATGTTTAATCACACGTAATCATCGTCCTTAGGACCCCAGCCAGGCAGTCGGGATGCATCAAGCGACGCTAGTTCCGAAGTGAGGGTTTTTATTTCGCCCGACCAAGTCATGGTATGGCCTCCACTCCTCCTCTTCCAACCGCGTCCCCGGCGCGCAAACAATGCACGTCGCGGGAGTCGCTGTGCTGGCATGCGCAACACGTGGCGCAGCCATCGGAATCTGGTGTGTAATATAATGGTGCTGAGCGGTTCACTCGCTCTTCCTGCACCAAATATGCGACGCCGAACACGCTTATTACTCACACGGTGCTCCCACCAGACATGAGCTAAGCTGCGAAGGCAGCGATGGTCGAATGTGACGAGCCTCTTTAGGTCTATCGACCTGATGGGCCAGGTTTCACAACCATATAGGAGGGCTGAACGGACAACTACGTTATAAACTCTGCCCTTCCGGGCGAGAGTAATGTCGCGCCTGCCTCACAGATGGTGGAGATTGGCAGAAGTCTATCTGCTGTGATTTCCGAGGCCGTTCCTTGAGTTTCCAACGACAAGCGGAGATCGTCTGGGTTGCTCCTTATCCCGGTTCCACTCAAACTTTGTGATTGAATTGCACATGGATGATTTTGCTCTTCCAAACTCTACTGCGGGAGAAATTTGACAGATGATCGAATGACAAGTCTTGAGTATGCGGATGACGTAACCCTCCTTGGGTCTGACACAGTGACTATGTGAACACTACTGGATAGTGATGAGTAGCGTTACATGCTTTGACACGCACTTTGTACCCTCAAAGTGCAAGTACTGTTGCAGGACTGAACCGACACACCACCGGTTCTAGCTATCACCGAACAGTTTATGAAGTGGTGGATCGGTTCGCGCCCCTTGGTAGCTGTGTCACTTCTGGTAGTCAGATCACTGAGGAAGTTGTTTCACGTATCAGCAAGTCCCGGGTAGCTTTCCAGAGACTCAACCATCCGTGGAGACGGCGAGATATCAGCATGCCAGTGAATGTTATGGAGTATAATGCTGCGATAAGGCCACTGCTACTGTTGGGTCAGAGACCTGGCCAGGTCGCGGCGAAGACATTAAACGCTTGGCCGTGGTTGATCACCGGTGCTTGAGGAGCATTGCTCACATCTGGTGGGAACACCCGGTGAGCAATGCTGAGGTTCGCCAATTGGTTTTGGCAAGAAGCCTTCTTGTGTTTCACTCAAGTGTTTCCTGAACCGTTATCGTTTACGTTGCCCAGGCCATGTCCTCGGTATGCCAGTTAAGCAGCTTGCTCGGCGCGCATTATAGGCCGTGGCTACACCAAATTTGGTGAAAACCGCGAGATGGCCAATTCATGATATAGCATAGAGACCTGAAGAAATCAACTGAGAGACTTGGTCAGACTGGTGCATGCCGTCCTCGTGGATGGGGATGGTCTACACCAATGGTTGGAGACGGTGTCAGACTTGGAGCAGTCAGGGAGTCAATGGCGTTCCTGCATTCGGTTTCTCGCATCTAATTGTTAGTTTCCTTTCTATTTAGGTTATTCTAACCCACCTACATTTTACTTCCATTTTCCTTACATTCTACTCGCATTCAGTCACATTTTTTGCTATCGTTATGCTTGCGATGTAAGTTGTGGCAACTGGGTCCACCGCAATTCGGTGCCCGGAAGAAAGTTATACAAATAAACCGAACTGAACTGAGAATCGGCAAGAGAAGTCACGCAGGCGCTTAAATTGGATAATAGAACCTTTTGAAATAATGTGGCTGCTGAACAACGTCTTATGGGCAACAATACATTACATTCACGGATAACTGCAATGTGGGGTGACATGTAACGGGACAGATGCGTGCGAAAGCAAGAAGGAACAGACGATAAGCAGGTGTGACATATGGCGCAAATGTGTTTTTGACTACCCAGAGCTATAGTGCAATATTGAACTATCGGCTTCTGCTGGAGATTTGTCGTTTGCACTTGGTATCGAACAAGCACCTGTGTTAAAAATGCCGCCTTATCACATGCCGCCAGGGGCGGGATAGCTTATTGCTTGTTCTTTTCTCTTGAGCATAAATTATTGTTGTAAAGGCTAGTGTTATCTTTTGTGATGTGTTAACTTAATCCACCGCACTCCAGCGCATGAATAGAATTCGAGAAACTGAACGGAACTCTGGTTAATTACTAACCGGACGCCCTGACATGCATCCGAATTCCACTGACTAAGAAGCTTGAGTTTTATATATACCACTTGAATCAGCATTATGTTAGGAAGTACGGTTATTAATACTTTAGCGGAAAATTGGAAAACCAGCTCACGGATCAAAGCAGCTGATTGAAGCGAAGTGAGACTCAAAGCAACCACTTAGTCAAAAGAAAATTCAACGTAAAATGGGCTACGATAGAAATATTAGTGTGATAAAAAGAGAGGAGAAGGAAAGTTTGTGTACTTTGTGGACAAAATAAGAGTGAGGTACAGAAGGACCTAAATCCGGCTTAGACAAACATAAGTACCGTTAACCTGCCAGTACAGTTAGTTGACCAGAACAGTGGGTTGCATAACCAACATCACTAGGGACTGGATAAGAACCCTATCTAAAAACACAGCTGTGAGGATGCCCGGAAGTCAGAGACCCAAGAAGCAGGGGTGAAAAATCCATTACATGAAGAGGGTCAGATGATACATTCACAACGGGAATAGAATCGACCGGGTAGTCAAAGTAAGTTCAAAGATGTCACATACGAGGTATCAAAAAAGAATAAAGACTTAAAAACATGACTATGGTTGCCGGTGACAATTTTGATGATTAAACGGAAGTTACCTCTGAGATATCAAACGCATCTCATTTATTAAAACAGTGGCATCCGCAGTGATTCCGGCAACTGCGCATGCGATATCGTCGTTTATTTTGTAAATCTTTTCAGAAAATGTCACGTCATCCAAAAGATCGTTTATGAAGCGTCTCTCGGCTGCGATAACGATTCCATCAGACGCGACTATCCCGAGACAAGTGCCCGCATGACTGACAGCCTCCATGGCGTACTCCACTTGGTAGAGACGACCTAAATAGAAACAAGAATAGGGGGGGGGGGAAATCCGTACCCTCCGGTGAGAAGATTGTCGTGCGTGTGTCGTATCTTCTAGCCTGTGAAGATTATCATCAGTTGAAATGAAAACTACCATCTAGTCGAGATCAATTAAATGTAATATGCGTCCGATTGACGATTCCGAGGGCTTCCGCGCCAATGGATGAGGTCTTAGTAGACCTGTGGGCTGCAACGCAAAACAGACCCCTTGTAAACGACTGGATGACATTATCAATTACACAGAAAGTAAGCAAATGGATGTAAGATGCGCCTGGTTAAAGCTTCCTAAGCAAGTGGATGTCGTTGTCACAGCTGTCGAAAAAAGATAGCGCCCTTAGCGGGAGCCCTGACTGCTATTTCAGAAGGCAGATCGAATGAAGGTATACTTGTTTCTGGAGTAAAAAGTTCCCTTTTGGTCTAGTTGTGAGAGCGACACTGATGGAACGAAAAAGTGCAACATGTGAAGCGGTTGCACGTTGCAGACCAATCGAAATTAACAGCCAGTACAACATTCCGCACCAAGCATAGAAGTGTACAATGAAATAATAATTTCAGTTGGAATTTTACACAACGGACAGGCAAATCGGGCAAACCACCAGACTGCAACATAGCTCTCTCCGGAATGGACTGTGCAAGCAGTCTTTCGATCTACATGAGAACTTTCCGTCGTTAGCCAGCTTACTGCGTAACCAGGCTGTCACGCCGACCCAAATGGACATGTAGTGGTGCGAACTACACCTGATACAACTTCTAGGGGTGCACTAATGCGAACGGATCTTGTGGGCTCCCACCCGTGTCCTCCATATGCTGTCGAAACGGAAAAAATGTTTGTGTGGGACAACTCGCAAAAGTCTGAGTAGCTGGCTAAGCGAGGAGTTCGTTGTGCTTCGAGGTGCGGAGATCCAGTGAAAAGGGGAAAGCAACCGATGGCGTGTACATAGAAAGCAAAACGGAAAAGAGCGGCGGAAATGCACAGCTATAAACAAAAGGGTGTAATAACAATGTATGAGGTTGCGTTTGAGCCTTGAAAACATGTTGCCTTTTTGGGTAGTTTCAAAACGCATTAGCCTTTCTTGTAGATTTCGAAAAACGTTTATAGCAGCATGAAAACGGGACATGAAAATTCTCTATGGAATTGACAAACGTATACAAAATCTGAGAAACGGACGAGGAGTTTGACTTCCCTGCCACTTTGGTTGATAACAGGCCGAGTAGGTGTGAGTTCATCAGCATCAGCAACAACAATACATCAACCATATGAACTTATGCTTCGCTACAGTAAAACCGCGGTGACCTAAGGAACGAAGAAAACCTTAGTGTCTTAAGCAAACATACAAGGTCAAAGTGCCTACACTTTGTCGGCTCGCAGAAACAAATGACTATCGTGCAAAGACAAGGCAGCGTCGGCGAGACAGCTTCCTTGCGGCTTTCACTGCTTCACGTCATAATCAACCACTACTCCGCAGACAGCTCACCACGAAACACTTTAAAGAATCAGTCAAACTAGGATAACACAGTAGACGCGCCAATGGTGTCGACTGCGAGCTATGTCCTGTAACGTCACAAGCCAAGCACAAGTGTCACGCGGACTTTATCCTGGAAGGCGAGACGGATTATCGGCAAAAAGTGTTGTAATCAGTGACTGCGAAGTTGTCTTACGCCCAATTCGGGCCTTGCGCTACCCTACATCTCGTACACAGAATAGAGCCCTACTTAATAAGTGGTGACCGGGCATACGTAGTACGTGCCTAAGCCAACACAACTTATTCAGTGCTATCTGTTGTTCTAAGGAACTAGCATGATAACACTACGCAGCATTTTGGTGGCAAGGAAATGAGAAGTGGTACTTATATAATTTGAGCATGCTTAATTCAAATCTGACATTTGTAAGCTATATATTTTTTGAAAATTGATTGTAAATAGCACTTTAAACAGCATTTGACTACTTTTCGATAGATCACATGGCGCAAAAACATTTCGCTACAAAGAAAGAAACAGGGGTTCTTGTATAATTTGAGCATGCTGAATCCAAAGATGACGCTTGTTTTCCTCTATAGGGTACGGACTTTCTGAAAATTGACTATAAAACATCTTTAAAAAGCTTTTCACGTCTTGGTCACTCCTTCTGTGTCCAATGTTTATCCTTAGATCGGATGCTTCACATGTATAGAAAGCATAGGGTATTGTGTAACCTGTCTGTTGACAAAGAAGGAAGCTCATTATCATCAGAACGACACAAATGATCCAGTTGTGTTCGATATTTGATGAGGTCAAAACTGTGTTTACGTCACTTGGTGATTCTATAAAATGCACAGAGTAGCGTCCATTTCTGTAAAACTAAATCACTGCCACCCCGCTGCCTTGCGGACAGGCTTTTGAGCCAAAGGCTTTGGATGTGGACCCTAATCGTCCTCCTGTCTAGATCCGGGCGCCCTGGCAGTATCTCAACCTACATACAACCATGACATTTTCTTCAAACATAAACTTCATCCTGCATCGGCCGTCGAGCAGATTATCAAGGGTCGCCTTATCTGCTGCATACAGCAGGGCGGATAAGCGAAAACATGCTACTGCTGGCGCCTCCCTTCTTCCTTTCCACCTTTTTCTCTTACTCCCATCCCGGCCCCCAGTACTAACCTTCCTTCTATAATTCCCAGCTTAATAGACAGCAACCGAAGTGCTACTGGAGTAGTGCCATCTGCAGCCACCATCCCACAGCACTTATCGGACGCCTATCGGCAAAAGTCACTTATAAGGCCACGCTGTCCCGTTTCCATGGCGACATTCAACGTCCACACTCTAAGACAAACAGGTCAGCAGGCTGCACTCGCACGCACCTTGGACACACTGGGCAATGATGTGTGTTGTGTGTCCGAAACTAGGATTAATGACCCTAACGCGGTTATTGAATTAACTGCACCCGGCTTATCCTCTCGTTATTGGTTGCACACATCCGGAGACGCCGATGCAGCACTCACGGGTCAAGCTTGTGTAGGTATCATTCTCAGCTCCTAGGCTGAATCATCGTTGACTGATTGGATTCCGGTAAACAGCCGTTTATGTGCAGCCCGTTTGACGACATCACCTAAGGTGAATTCGCGAAGTAAAACAAAACGCTGTTTGTTTGTGATTTCCGTTTATGCTCCCACCGACTGCAGTTCTAATGCAGTCAAGGACACTTTCTATCACGAACTGAACGCCCTACTACGCAGTGCTACTAGTTCAGATATTATAGTACTTGCAGGGGATATGAACGCACAAGTAGGACGTTTGAGCTCTTCAGAAGCTCAGCTGGGTGGTAATTATGGACTTAACTCCGAACGGACTGACAACGGCGAGCGTCTGCTGCAGCTGTGTGCGGAGCACCAGTTGTTTCTTACTAGCACTGCTTTTAGACAGAGGGCCACTTGGCATCCACCTGTAGCTGGCCAGCGATGGACCCAAATTGACCACATAGCCATAGGTTACAGGTGGCGCGGTTCCATCCTAGATTGCCGCTCGTACTGGAGTACCTGTGTCGACTCTGATCATGCCTTGGTGCGCTGTCGTTTCTCCATGAACTTTACCGGAAGGCGCACAAAGCACCTCCCCGATTGGCAACGGAGAAATTGTCTCAGCCCTCGGTCAGGCAAGCCTATCAAGAAGCATTGCATAGCGAACTCTCGCTGTCTTGTCCTAATGACACTGAACTTCAGTGGAATAGGATCTCGGCGGCGATGCACGACGCAGGAGCATCTGTTTGTGACACTATCAGTCGTCACCGCACCAGTCACTGGATATCCGAGAGGTCCGTGAACCTGTTGGAAGCTAGAAGACACCTCCCGGCTGGTTCTGAACACAATGTGACCAGACGGGCTATTAGGCGTGAACTAAAGCGGAGCCTACGTGCTGACAAGGAAGCCTGGTGGACCAGTCGGGCTCAAGCAATGGAGGAGGCAGGAGCAGTAGTCAATTACCGGAAGCTCTTCCAGCTAATACGCACCACTGGTCCGAGAAAACCAGGCGTCAGTGAGACAATCGGGGACAGCGCGGGTGCGCTGATACACAATAAGGAGCGCCGTATGGCTCGTTGGGCTGAACACTTTGAAGATCAGTTCAGCTGGTCCCCTGCTTCCGGAACTCTTCCTACTCAGGTTATGCAGGACGTGCCATGGACGGTTAGTTTAGAGCCTCCGTCGGAGGCCGAGTTCCGATACGCGATCACAGCCCTCAATCGTTTTCGTGCCGCTGGCTCGGATTCCCTCCCACCTGCACTATTTAAGGATGGAGGTGAGGTCCTCTGCAGGGCACTGACCTCCCTATTCGAACGTATCTGGAACGAAGAGAGTGTGCCGGCTAATTGGAGCGAATCGATTATAGTGGCAATATACAAGAAGGGCAGTCGCACAGACTGTTCGAATCACAGGGGTATTAGCCTAACGCCAATTGTGACAAAATTACTGGCCTCGATTCTCGTTCGTCGCCTCACTGCAGAACGGGAATCTCGGGTTAGGGAAGAGCAGGCCGGTTTACGCCCAGGACGTGGCTGTATAGACCATATATTTACTTTGCGGCAGGTGCTAGAGCAGCGCCACGCATACCGCAGACCGAAAACAGCTGTGTCCCTCGATTTCCAGAGTGCGTTCGATTTAGTCGATCGATCGGTTCTGTTTGAATTACTTGCGCGGAAAGGTGTTCCCACGAAATATGTGAACATCGTTCGTGCTCTATACTCGAACACTACAGGCCGCGTCAGGGTCTATGGTGTCCTATCGGATAGCTTTTCGACTACAAGTGGCGTTCGACAGGGTTGCCCGATTTCCCCGTTTTTGTTCAATTTCGTCGTGGATTCTATCATGGAGTGTTTCCTTGGGGAATCTCACGATGTAGGCGTTGAAGTGATGCCTGGTGAAAGGTTAGTTGATCTAGATTATGCGGACGATGTCGTCTTGGTTTTCGACAATGTTGAGGCGGCACAATCAACACTGAATAGCCTGTCCAGAGTGGTCCCATTATTTGGTATGCACTTCGCACCTTCAAAGTGCAAAGTGTTGCTGCAAGACCACCAGCCACTTGATGACCCTTTGACGCTTGCTAACGAGGAACTCGAGGTGGTTG